TTAATAGCGAGTTCTCTAATTACAATAATTACATAATGATAGGAATGGTACAACAATAAAAACTTCAATAGCGTGAAGAAGAGAGAAAGAATACGATTATTTTCTCGGCGAGAATCCCGGTATAGAGAGATGTTTCATCCCTCTCCTCGATCGGAATAAATCGGTTCCATCTTTCTGTTTTTTCGTATTTATAATATTTATAGCCTCGATTCGTTTGTGCTCTTCCTTTTTTCCATTTTTCTTTTCCTTATTTATACTCGTATTTATAATATCTATATATATTTATACGCTTATAGGCTAGGCGAGATACGATCTATGTGCTATTTACAAGTTCTTCTTTTTTTTGGTCACAGTTGCAACTTTGGCTGTGGGTGATGCCCTTTCTTGAACGATAGGTGCTGAAGATATGCAAAATACAGTACGCTGCTCGTACTTTCTTATACGTTGTCTATTGTCGACGATTAAACGAGAAGGATGAAAATTTTATTTCAAATAAATTTCATTTTATTTTTATACACGTACAACACGAACCACTGAACTAATGAGAATTAATTTCGATCGTTAGTAATTATTAAACAAAATTTGTTCTATTCAAAAATGACGTTGTGAATTACTGTAAAAAAAAAAAATTGTGATAAAATTATATTTAAAAAAAGAATTAAAATAATTGAAGTGCACACACAGTGTCAAACGATTTACTCCGTAGATATGCTAAATCCTAAAGAAATAGAATCGAAATAGAAATTAAACTGTTAATCGAATAAAACTCGTTTAATTGCCGCAACGAACGCCGTGTAAATGTCTACGTAATAAGAGAAGTAGAGTGAACGATTATCTCAATACTTAACGATTCAACACGGAGTGTAGCGAGACTGGAAACAAAGAAATAATCTCACTGGATTTCTCCGGACACCTTTCATCTCGATAGAATCTATTAAAAAAAAAAAAAAAAAAAAGAAAAAACTGGATCGATTTAAATCGATGTCTCTTATAATAGTACTTTCTTGTTCGAGCCACGGTATGGAATGTACAGCTTTGGTAACAATAATGCGCGTTATATCACTTTGCACACACACGTTCGTGTCCAACCACGGTCCCGGAATAACGGTATCGGAATGCACGGTTGAATTCCAGTCCACGAATTCTAAAATCCCTCGATGAAACCCTCACACATTGCACTCGAAGAATAAAAGAGAAAAAAGAAAAAGAAAAAAAAAAAAAAAAAGAAAAAGAAAAAACGCCGTCAATCATCATTTCGAATTATTAAATAATAAATAAAGTCCGTAAAATGTACAAGTTAAATGTACATACTCCCTTAAAATGTAAAAAGTTCGATCTATTTACTTGGACGACGAAGGAAAATAAAGAAAAAACGTTTCGTCGCCGTCGTCCAAGATCTCCCCTCGATTGCACCATTTGGAAAGAATTCGATTAACGTTATCAACCTGTTTCCTCCCAGAGGATAAAAGTTTACAGTCCGTTTGATTATCGTTTGAGAATTATTCATTGCATCATCGGCGGATTGCCGTTAGGCAAAGAGTTTTGGCCGGGGATCGAGCCGATCGACGGTCTTTGAGACGTGTTCAGATCGGCGTGCTGAGTCTCTCGATGCCTTCTCAGGTCGACCTTCCGCTGGAATGCCCGGCCGCAAAGCTCGCAGGCGAACGGTTTGAAGCCCGTGTGCTTCCTCGAATGCGTGATCAGGTTACTGCTCTGAGAGAACGCTTTGCCGCATACCTGACACTTGTGCGGTTTCTCCCCTGAAAACGAAAATTTCGAAAAGTTAGAAAAAGAACCATCTTTATCCAACCTTTTTACGCAAATAATAAGAATAAAAATAATTTACAACAATCTTGCTCGTATTTATTATTCAAATATTACCAAATACCAATCACTGAAAACATCTTCCTATCCTATCTCTTTACTACTCTTTACGAGAGATTTAAAAATATCGCCATAAAATTCATAAATATAAAACAGCTTACACTTCCTACCCCATCGTACGACATAATCCAAACTCTAATTTAGCCACGCGAGTCTTTTCGAGATCTTTTCGACGACGCGACCGTGCGTCCATTCGTGCGTTTTTCGCTCGAATCGAACGAAATTCTGGCGGTCGAGAGCTGTTAATTCTTGTACAGAGACCGATCCTTATAACCAGGCATCCTTGGCCGGCCGATAGAGTGGATGGTGGAGTAGTAGGAGCGACGAAGGGACGAAGGCCGACAAATATTCCTGGAGAAATTGTGGAGGTGTTCCACGAAGGGAGGGAGGGAGGGAGGTGGGTGGGGTGGTATCACGGATGCGGGGCACGCCCGGTCAAGATTTCCTCCCAAGCGAGAATCTCAGCCTCCCCGGCGGC